TGAGCCTTATGCATTTCGGTAACTGAGCGTATAGGAAATGAAGCAAGGAAGTTGCAGTACAGATTTTGGCGCCCGATAAGTAATTTTCCGTGATGCAACTTTATAAAGTTAGACAGGCCTAAACGCTTCGGCTACGGTACTGTATTTCGCTGTGAAGAGACTCCTCAAATCGACAGCCTGTGAAAGTCAAGGCTACTGCACGTGTGCTGTATGCAAAAACATCGCTTTTATAAGCGTCCAGCTAAGAGATATATGCAGTTCGTGTATGCACACGTCGAGCTAAAAAATAAAAAAGCTTGTAGTTGCCACTCTAGTTGCATAATTTTTTTCAATTGTGGAAAAATGTAAAGTGCTGTATCTTTTTTGGAGATGGTGAACAACAGACCTTCCGCTTGCGCTTGGGATACGGGTGCATCTACGAGTGTTTCTTTCGCCTAACCCTCCTAAACCCTTCCTCGACCCCTTCCGGGACGCTGAAACATATGTGTACATCCGAGAGAGAAAAAAAGGTAATCCGTTTTCTTGGGGCTTCTTGTTCCTGCCTTCCTTATGGTTTCCGGATCATCTTTAGGGCTTGAGAAATTCAATAAAAATTCCTTCGAAACAGCGTTGTTTCGTGGTGATGGACGGTGTTATGTTCGGTCCGTTCGGAAAACACGGTTTCAAATAATGTGTGAATTGTGCTCACTTGAAGGACAGAGTACGATACGGTATCTTAATATCGACGAAATTTTCACGGGCATGGATTTAAGTTAATTCCATACTGAAATTAAGCATCGACGCTTTGCTTTTTAGACTAAAAATATGGTCCAATTTTTGAAAGAATTCAACCTTTTCTAATTAGCCCAAGAGAGCATAAGTCAACTGTTAGTGGTAGCATCGGTCACTATTGATTAGTTGCGAGGCATTGTACACTTATTGTATTCACGCTTCGAGAAAATATTTCTGAACTTGCTGCGTACAGTTTTTCAGTGCTGCTGCTGTGTTGGCATTTATTTATATCATATTTTCTATCAACCCAGGCTTAAATTTGCCACTATTCCATCGAAAGTGCTCTGATTTCAAATCGACCAGAAGCAATTGGCATTCTTTCACAACTTCTTCGTACAGTACCAAATATTGTATTCCCTTCAGCTTGACGAATCTTAAAAGAAAACTGCTATTAAAGAATACAGTATGATAATCGTCAGGACGCTACAAATGTAGAAGAATTGAAAATACAGATACTGTAATAATATCTTGAGAGGTAAAAAAAGCGGACAAAAAGCGAGAAATTAGATTGGTCGCACGAAAATAATTTTTTTTTCAGATTTCCCGACAAGTATGTGCTTAACAAATCAATTAATCGAGGAATAAGTTTTCAGAGTGATATCCACTTTCCCATCGAAATATTTGATCATTCAGGCAAAATAAATACCCAGTCATTTCATGAGATCAGATAATTGAGGCTGTCCTGCAAATTAATCGAAGGTTATCCGAGCTCTGATTAACCGGTAATCCGATTACCCATGCTCACATTTTGAGTTATCAATAAAGGTATAGCTATGAATGAGGTATATAAAGTACTGTACTATACCTTTAGGCTTAAGCCGTTGCATCTGCCACCACTAGATGAAGTGTCCTGGTCACCGCAATTGTATATTTTTCGGAACGTTAGCATCATTAATGTACAATTGTAGATCATTCCCATTTTCAAAAAAACAACATGTTGCATATATTTTTCAACCAGTGGTATTATTTTGCTCGCATGGGCACTCATTCATAAAATCGGATAATGTCAGAAATACTGCATTTGTGAAGATGAAGAACGAGAGTACTGTACTGTGTAAGGGAAATTATTCGTAAAACAAAGTTCGCTCAACGAAGTCCGGGGAAATTTCTTTACCAGCCCGGTTTCCTCGCCGCTCATAGGCTAGCGATTCCAACGTTGAGTTCACGACTCGCTGAATCTTCGGAAGGGGTCGCGCTGTTGATGGATGAGACAAATCACACTCCGGCTAATAACAATGCTCGTCAAGCCCCGTGTGCGTTCAGCACCTCTTTTCCACCTGCCCCGGCGTCACGCATTATAAACGCGGCCTGATGGCCTTTCCGCCCCGCAGTGCAAAAGAAAAGAAAAAAACTCGAGGTCGCAAGGAAATTCTCGTCACGACGTTGTTTCGTCCATAAATTGGAGCAGTTTCGGGCTGCGTGTAGATTTCTATTTTTTCCAAAAACATTTATCCATCAGCAATTGGATCAAGCAACATCCGTTAGCCAAGCGGATCGTCAGAATTGTACATGCTGCCAGTGCTGGTTGCGGATGTCTGAACTGTCTGTTTTATGATGACTAGGAGCTACATCTATAAAAGTTTACATAAACACTCGTTTACGAGTCTACATCAGGGAACTTAGAGGAAAAGCCGAGTATCGCGGAAAAAACTACCACAGATACAGTGAAACATTTATGGACTAGCATCAACCGTCGCAATTCGCAAATTACGGTTCCAGCACTTTTACTGCAATGTTCAGGAAGATTTGAAAAGAGGAAAAACTGAGAAATTCTTTGAGAGACAAAAAATTTCACTCACAAATCTAGTTTTCTATCATAAAACAAAGCCTCAAATGATTTACGACGCATACAAAGAGCACGTGGATACTATTTCTCAGCCCGTAAGAATAATTTTCGACGAAGAAATGATGGTATCGAAAATTTTATCGAGCTATGGTCAATTAATGCCAGCAGCGTAAATCAGATGGACGGCTGATCAAAGATGGTTATTACTCTTTGGGTTGGCGACGTGACCAATGAATATGCACAGTTTTTTACATGTTCACGCACCTAATGCATACGGTACTTCGAAATCCTCGAAAAAAGACTTGGATTCTAGGACCCTCTCGTATTTTTTTTAGCTTAAATCGGTGCGCATATAATGTCATAACGTATGTTCCATTAATCTTCGATTTTATTTTTACTGTCATAATGCATTTTTTCAAAACCTCTCCCTGCTTATTTTTTAAAATATTCCTTCGCAAAAAGAAATCATTGAAACCTCTCCGCATCATTCAGACTACAGTACTGAACTGTATACCGTACTGTAATTCGCGATGGCTTGGATATTGGTGCTGTAAGTATAGTATATCATAGTATCTGCGTGTCTGAAAGACAACTTTCGAAAATTAATTCAGTTTCTACAACTTGAATGTCCTTATACAAGCAAAATCTTTCCCAGAAACCGAGTTGGCTTTGGAGTATCAGCAGCACAGGTTGAGATTTCATTTCAAGCGGCATTCGAAATGCGAATTAGTTCATCAGTCGTGAAGGCTTGAGGAATGTGTAGAAGAGTATTGGGGTTAAGTGGGATTCCGTTGATATTTTACCAAGACAGCAGTCCGGAAAAGTAAATTCTTGGTTGAGATGACTCTGCACGTTTTCGCCCAATGAAAGCGTGTTAGGATAAGTATGCGAACATTTTGGGCGGAAGCTATTGTTGTCTTGGCTCGTGGATTCTGAAGCGTTGTTGTGGCACGCTTTCCCTAACAAAAACCGGATACAGTATTGAATACTCTGATGAGTGGAGTTTCGCGAGGAATTCCTTTCCTCGTCACTTCTTCATGCAACATATGCGTGAGAAGTCAGAAGTGATTGTAACACTTCAGACAAAAGTCGTGTTCGTCAGTAGTAACTCATACCTGCCTTACAGATGCAGATGTTCTTTCCGAATGTGAACAGACCTCTATACTTTGTTATCTACGAGCTCTACACTCTGCGTGTCGTCTATAGAAATAACGGGGTATAACAAACTTCAGTGATTTGTGTGCATAAATACTGTATAATTTAGATTGTTCGACATTAAAGTAGTTTTATTGTCAACAATTACCCAGGGATTATTTCCGAAATATTTCGCACCAGTATAACCTAGTATTGCATACAGTATAACCTAATACGTATACTGTATTTCAATAGCCCACATGCATGCATAGTCCGCAAACAGATGGCTAAATTAAAATCGAGGACACTCTGTTGACCGTAAAAACGGGGGTATTGTATTGGCCCCAACAATTTGGAACCTGGCATTTTCTACAAAAATATCCTCACTGGGAATGTATTCGAATTACATTCCAATGACATGAAACGTAAAATGCGGTTCCGGAGTGACGCATTACGCGTTCCAGATGAATATTGAGTCTGTGTAATGCTTGATTTTGTATTCCTTCAAAGATGTAGCACCAGCTGCAGTAGGTACGTTACAAGGAAAACTGCAGTGCCTACACAGTAATGTACTGTATACAGCACTCAAATACCTCGAGTATTACAGGCTGCACGGAATTTTCCATTGCATTTCTCCGTCGAGATATGTACGACCCATATATTCTCAAGCACTGTAAAACTGGAAATGGAATAATACTTGTTCACGCTAATCACCGAACATGTACTACGTGCATGGTGAATGCAGATCATTAACGTGACGAAAGATTCATTTTTTATTTAGCGACATCTAGTTGTAAAATATAACACATCGAGTGCATTTATTTTTCCCGGAACGTAGAGAAAGATGATCCAACACCGCTTTTTCGCGTCCCTCTGAATTTCGGGCGAAATGTTGCAGGTGCCGATGAATCAGTCAAAGGAATAAGTACTGTATGGGCAAGTAGAATTATTGTATATAGCCGCAGAACTCTTGAAACTTGCCTTAATCCATCAAAGGTTATCATGAGCAATTAACGGTTGCAACTTGCAAGTAATAACCCTCCCAACATTTAAATCGTTCATCAAATTTCGTGGATACTCGATCACATGTTTCTAATACACGAAGTACAGGGAAATGGCTTTATCTTTTCTTGTCACACTATGAATATTCAATAGATTTATTTGTTTACGTTGCGTTCTGAGAGCCATGTTATCGCAACTAACTTCCGATAAGTGGGTTCGAGGCAACGCACACGTGTATAGGGAACTGTAGACAATTTTAGGTGATGATGACAGAGCGCTTTTTTCCATATCCATATCCAATCCAGTAGCCTGAAAGAATTCCAACATTCCGAAAGGAAAAGACCATACAGAAGAAAATGCTGTACGTGCCACGGTTTGTGGTTTTTGTTGCGTGCTTGCAGCACGTTCTGTGTTGGCAGTCCGCGTTCCTGGACCCGAATGACAGGATAGAGTTGAGCTGGGATGTCGACGACGTCGCTGCTGAAATAACTTTCAATGTCTCCGCGAAAACCAATGGCTGGGTCGGCGTTGGTTTCACTCCTTCCGGTGGGATGAAAGATGCTGACATAATTGTCATGTGGATCGCCGATGGAGAAGTTCATTTTAGCGTGAGTCGTGAATGAATTTATAAATGCAGAAGAGCCTGGATTATTCGGGCTTTGGTCAACCGCACACGCATGCAATCATGCTGAAATTTTAAGTAGATCATCATTGGTCACAAAAATGCTGATAGATTGACGGATTAACTTTAATTTTATGCGGGATGTTATACCGCAAATTAATTTTCCAGCATCATTAAGCTACAAAAGTGAGTGGCATAAAAAATAATCATTTAAAAAAAGAGAGTCTATAAAGATGAAGGCATCGGAAAGCCCGTTCGTCGCGAAGTTCCTGAGGGCATCTGCGACATGTTTTGTGAGAATTTGGAAATATCTCGCGATTCTCATCCCGTCAATTTTGAATTTTGATCACCAACCTTTTCAATTACGCCCAGGTGATAATTAGTCTGGATACAGTTATCGAGGTTTTAATGTGGAAAAGATTGTTCACCAATGCTCTTTTTACATCTGGAGTCAGCGGTCAGCGAAGCAAAAATACATTTCAAAGACCCGAAGTTGTTTTCTTCACGTAGTACAAATAAACACCCGGGATTATAAAACTTATCGTTTGCTTTAAAGGATCGACACGCGACAAGGCAACAAGTACCAATTGTTGACGAAGTTCAAAACTATGAACTCTTGGACGCGTCGGAAATCGGTGGAACAACGTTCTTTAGTTTCCGTCGGTCTATTGACACTTGCGATATCACTCAGGATTATTTTATCGAGGTAAAGGAAAAACACCACATTGAAATAGTCCAGAAGAAGAAGAAGAATGTTTGAATTTCAGGACGGAACGTCGCAAATAATTTATGCCTTCGGGGAAACTGACCCTGCTGGCAATGATCCGTCCCAACACCTCAACACAAATCGTGGAGTCAGATCAGTGCTGTTGCTTGATGCTCCTCTCGGTGATGCCTCGGAAAAAATTTGGAAAACTTTATTTTAAAAACCATCCCTTTTCCATGATCTAAAGGCGACATTCCCGTCGACGAAACTGTGAAGACAATCGAATTCAGGAGCCCGTCAGTTCCTGTTCCATCCACAGCAGACACTACGTATTGGTGCAGTATGCACAGAGGACCAGTCATCGATAAACCTCACCAGTACATCGGCGTACGTATCAATTGAAAAGTACGAAGATTGTTCACACGCTTTGTCAGTATTTGTGCTTCTCAAGTTGGATACATTGATGAAGATGGTCATAAGATGTATGGAATGAGATTCGATCACTTCGGGACTATGGTTCTAAATAATTCTAGCCCCGGTTGAAATTGAGTTGACAAGATACATATTCTAAGGAATAAATGCGATTTGCCTGCCACATATGAATGTTTCGTGAGTTTGTAATCTGTATCGACTATTTTAAAGAATAGAGAAGACTTCAAAGAAACTGTGCCCTTAGGTCTCACAACCAGGCTCTCATTAAAATAGAACTGTGATTCTTATGATTTTTGTGCTGAGTGTGTAGATTACTCCGAGTTGATATACAAAAAAGTTGACCCTGTTAAGTAGGCATACAGTTTGATTAGCAGAAAATACTTACTGTCAAACATAAGTTGCCTTCCATATACTGTAGAGTATTTGATAGAGTTCAGGTTTAAACTGGCTCAGAAACGTGGGTACCCGAAGAATTTCATTCCAATGTACAGTGCAATACTGACAAACCTTTTGAGCCCTTCTTGGTATTTCCAGAGATTTCTTTTTCATTAATGCTGTGGCGATTTTCAGAACAAGGCTATTGTCCAGAAGGGAAACGAGAATATTGTTCATCATTATGCGTTATACGAATGTGAATTGAACGAGGAGCATAATGCTGAGTACTTCGAGCAGCTTCTGGTCGATTACGCCGGGGGTTTTTCATGTTATGATCCGAATTCTCCGATTGGAGCTTTAACATCATGTCAAAGCCTTCGTGTCGTCTGGGCAACTGGCGGAATCGTGAGTCCCTCGGAAACTTTGTCGACTTCTTTGAGCTTTAAATTCTGAAAGTATAAACTCATTGAAAATGGTCGTCTAATTTTACATATTTTTAGGGGGATGTATATCCCGCGGAAGCTGGCTATCCAATCCATAAATCTACGGACAGTCCGCTTTATTACAAGCTTGAAATGCATTATGACAACGCAGCATTCGAAGATGGAATCGTCGACTCATCCGGGGTCCTCATGTATTACACTGATAATCTGCGGCCACACGATGTTGGAATTCTAGTCGCTGCAATGCCAGTTCTGTATGCCCAAGTACGTGAAAATTAACGAAAAGGAATTTCTCACCATTTCATCTAACCGATGAAAAGAGCATGCGCAAAAACCACGGAAACAGCAGTTATGAAATGCTCACCAAATTACCACAAAAAATCTTTCGGGCGGAGTAATATCAGTAACAGATGGTTGCATCATCGAATAACTTCGAGCAATATCCCTTTTGGATCTATCATTATCTAATAGACTTCATCTCGTGCATTTGAAACACATTTCACAGCTGATCCCCCCTGGTGTCGAGGAATTCGTCAGCGTAGGCCACGCAGCACCCGAATGCACTGCCAAATACATTCCGGAAGAAGGAATCAATGTGTTTTCAATTCTGCATCACTCTCATCTCGCAGGTGAGGTCATCCGACAGAAGCCTTAAGCCTATGCAATGCAATATAAAAGTACAGTACATTTGGTCCCCGCTCGACAAAAGGCTCATTGAGCGAATATACCATTTCGCATTGCAAAATTCGCTCGTCGGGAAAAATTGACTCACATAATAACATGATTGCGCATGTGACTTTTTCGGTAAAAATCGCAAAATTTTTTAGCAAGTTTTGAACTAAAACTGCGGAAAATTCAGGAAGTTGAGAAACGAAGGATGTAGTATCGCCCCTTTTGTCATCAAAGTTTTTGAAATTCAGAAAACCAAGAGCACACGTTGACATGATCGCTTCCACTTTATACGAATAAATTTAAATATTCAGCTGCATGCTGCAAACTAATAAAAAACACAGTTTTTAAGGTTGATTCTGGTTTTATTTTGGTGAGTACCTGGAATAAATTAAATAATTTACGATTTAACCATGAAGGAAATCGCGTTTTGCATTTAAAAATATTTGTAACAAAAGGCATCCAGGAATAGGTTAGTTTTGTTATGCGGGGAACCCAATGCCGAAAATTTTTGATTATCCGTGTCGCAACCGTGTCCATATTAGTTTAAAAATTAATTTAAATTAATTTAAAATTTTGTACGCTCAGGGAAATTTCCGTTAAAATTTTAAAATTTGCATCGACAGGACGAAGAATGCGAACCCGACTGTTCAGGAACGGAGCTGAGGAGCCTTGGCTGTTGAACGACAACCATTATGACTTCAACTACCAGCAAACGAGGTTGCTCTCGGAGGAAAGGAAACTTTATCCCGGGGACCAGATAACCGTCGGTAAATAACCCAATTTTAAAGTATAGTGTGTTCAAATCGCAGCTCGAGGTGAATCAGTTTCATCATTGCTGTTTCTTTTTCAACAATTTATGATTCAAGTTTCATGAATTTTACTCCTGAAGAATGCTACTTGAGCACTTCAAACAGGAAAAAGGCAACTCTCGGAGGTCTCAGCACATATGACGAAATGTGCGAGTCTTTCATATTGTATTACCCCGCAATGTCTCTGGGTTTTGGGGAAAGTCATCCATCTCTTGAATACATCCACGAAATTTTCGGTTTCGAAAACGTCACTATGAACATGTGAGAAACAACAATCATCCCGTCAATCAAATAGGAAATTAAGCTTTCTTCTTATGCAGTGACACCATGGAGTACTGGGTCGGCGATCAGCTTATGGAAGATGTGCTCCTTGATTTCGACTGGGGAAACTTCGACTTGGAAAGCTATCAAAACAGGATCCGCTACGGGGAACACTTCGGGATATGTGCTGCGAATGTGCTGGAAGCTGAAGAGGTGCATTAATGAAGATCAATAGACAAACTTACATATTTTATTATTTAAAAAAATCATATTCGACAGGGCATCATCGTTTCTTATCCAGACGTCGAGGAATACCAAGAGCCACCGAGACAATGTTGATTTTTCTGGATTATTTTCAAACACGCTGACCGTGACGTGACTCTTCTTTGAACCTCGAGTGTTAATAAAATGTGAAAGCAAAAACGATAATCGCATGCAGCATTCGACATTTTCGCGCATATACTGCACTTTCCGGTTGCTGTTCGGAAGTAAGCATTATCTAGTCAAATATGTTTATAGGGAGGAATCCATCGCTTCAGAATGACATGGCTAAACTGCTTGATTTTTCATGATAAAATAAATCTGGCAGAAATCACCAATTAAGGGAAATTTTTTTGGAAAGAATTCTTTCGAATCCACCTTCACAAAAATATGACTGCCGTAAACGTGTGAAGCTCGCCGCGGGCTTTGGTGCACATAATCGCATGCACTTGACTCAACCAATGATCGGCCGGGGAGTGAAAAAGCGCACATGCGAACTTTCTGTGCCGCTGAAAAGCTGCATGGACTGTACAAGATATGCATAAATCTTAAAAAGGGTTCTTCGGAAGAAACGTATTTGTCTGCCTTTTGTAACACCGATTATGCGAATCACTGAAAGCCGCGAAGAACGCGAGTGAAACCGCGAAGACTTCCTTTCGTGCCCGGAATGCGGAAAATTTTCGGCGAAGGTTCGCGATCAGGGTTTTAGGGGTGCGATTCAGGGGAATTATGAGCTACCCACACATGAGCAGTGGGGGCAGTATGGAGCCGACGGAGGAGGTCGGGCAGCGACGTGAGGCCGATGTTCGCTCCCCGCTCGGGCCATCGGGCGGGACAATGAGGCGGGGCCAGTGTTCATCCCCGGCGTCGACGCCGTGGACCAATGCGACTCGTGCCCCGATCCCGGTTTCCGAGCCTTGCGCCGCCGTTGGGGCTTGACCCGGAACGCGCGTCACGCCATTGGCGAACGCTGTCGGAGCTCGAGAGCTTCATCAAGGCGAACCTCTACTTGACATAACAGTCCTTCGGAAGCCACAAGGAGCAAACGAGTACCCCGGGCTTCGACGGTGGCCGTAGAGCTGTTGGATTTTTCACGAGTGCTCTTCTTCCGTTTTTTTCCCCCGTCGTCGCACCTTCTCGACCGCAAGAAGTGGGGGTCCTCTCGATTGTTTCGACTTGAGCGCAAACATTGCCAAGTGGTCCCTCAACTGCTACCCCTCATTCCTCTTAGTGCAAAGGTGACATCAAGATTTCCCCTGCCGCCCCTTTTCAACTTTTCAACAATCCCCGAATCCTGTGGTCCGGACATATTTATCCCGAGCACTCTTCATTTGGGTCGTTACGCCAATTTCCGCGTCGGTGCGATAACACTGAATACATGTTACTTCTATACACACGCGATTCTTCAGTAAGCGTGAGGAGCAAAAAAGATCTAACGTTTATCCATGCAATAATTCTGTATGTTCTCCATTCATAGAACACACGCACTCGTTTAAGTGAGTTTACTTGAACATGTCTAGTCAACATCGCAGTCTTGATTGATATTTCTGGTTTATTTTGGTGGGGACAATTTCAAGGAAATCACAGGTTTTCTTAAGAAAAAGTTTTATTCATTTAAAAAAACTTTGTCGGTGACGTCCCCATTCCGTTGGTGTTTTCATTTAGATTAATTTGATGTGTTCTTTGGACTCTGACTGAATCTTTAAAATAAATTGAGCAGCGAAAGTTTCAACACGAACCCCGCTAAAGGAAATTTGACGAAAATTATCCAATTTTGGCTGCATCATTTGTTAAAATAAAATTTATGATCTTTATTCGAAATAAAATCTTCAAAAATATGAACTGGATGATGGACCAGGTCTTCCAAATAATGATGAAAAATGCAACGCGTCTCAATTAATAAACTGGCTGACGTAACATTATTGCTCAGTTTGAGTTGTGCATAACAATTCCTCAAACGTCTTGACGGATTTAAGGTACGAAGCCTGCACTGTTAGGCATACTGGCATCTGATTTGTGTTTATATATAAATTTAATCTCCCTTAACGAGGTTAAAGTGAAGCAAGCCGAAAAAAAGTTCTCATCTTAAGAAAGTGCGCTTCATTCAACGCTTCGAATAGAAATATCGAAGAATACATTAGATCTTGCTGAAAATAATTAAAATTTTGCGATAAATGGAAACTTGGCCATTTCTGTGATTCTTTTTGGGCGCGCCATGCTGCCACTCGATTATATCGTTTCACCAAACGAAATGTCTTTCTTTTTTGTTTAATTTCAATCATTTCACGATCGTCTCCATCACATATGCTGTTCAGCAAAACCTCTTCATCGAACGACGTGACCAATCAAAATTCCAACAGAAAATGCAGAAAACCAAATGCGGTGCAAATCCTCGTATAATGACCAAGTTATTCTGCAAATATATGAAGTACTGCATCGCGGACGATTGAATACAGTGCGACCACAATATTGTGTTTTGAACATATGATAAGTAAGAAATGACATGGTTTTACTGTAAAAAATAAATTCCCACGTATATCGAAGTCCATTAGGATATATAATAAGCAATTTGGAGAGAAAATATAATCTGCTTAAACTGAATTCAGGGATAACGCTTTTTTGACTCGTTGCTTGAATGTGCTGGGTCTCATACATTTAGGAATTCACATCTATATTCAACTTCAATCTTGCAAAAAGTTACATATTCCGAGTCATTTATTCAGTTTTTTTAAATTATTATTTGTGTTCACGAGGTTGCGTCTCCGGCGATTGCGACATGGTTGCTTACAATCGGAGTGACTGGATTTTTTGCTGCAGTTGATAGAAAGGATGACGGGATAGTTTCGCTGTTGGGGATAACAGGAAGGGAATTTCCGCGGAAAGTGTGAGTGCGTTTCGGGAGGACAAACTGGAAACCGTGGACGAACGCGAGTTGGTGCGACAGAACGACGACGGGAACGACGACACCGAGGTCGAGGCCGCCGTGTGGCGCCCGAACGACGAATACGCCTCCAACGACGGCGACTTCGTCCCACCTGGCATGTCATTGAGCCCCACGTCAGCGACAGGCGTGTTCAGTACGACCGGCGGCAAGTTCTCCACGCCTTTCTCAGTCACGGACATCCTCCAACAGTACTCGTCGGACCTGGACGCCTACGGGCGCATCGGGCCGGCGGTGAAGCCGGACCCTGGTTGTTTGACCCCGTCGCCCGGCCCGGGTGTCGGCGCCCACATGGGCTCCGCGGCGGCGTACTCGCACCCCATGCACCACGCGCCGTCGTCTTATGCACAGTATTGCAATGGCGCGGAGCTGGGCGCCGCGGCGTACAGCGCGGATATGCGGCATTGTCCGACCACGGCGTCGGCTGCTGCGGCTGCGGCCGCCGCTGCAGGCTGCTGGTATGGCACGCCACCGGCTGCCGCCGCCGCTGCTGATCCACGATTTGCTCCTTGTGAGTATTACCATCGGTTTCTTCATTACAGTATTTTAATTCCAGCGAATCCAAGGATCCTTCTCGTGGGATTTATCCTTGTTGTGGGCTTGAGTTCTTGAAAAGTTCTTGATTTCCTTCCCAGAAACCTAAATGTCGCATTCCATCGAAAACGAGATGGACCCATTTTCTAGAACAATCAGCTTGCAAATCAGGACGGTCTTCTGATGGGTAAATTTGGTCATAGGAGCGTTGGCGAACAAGTAAAAAAATCAAAATAAATCCATTGAGAGGCAGGACTTAACAGAAATATAATTAAAAGGAATGCGGAAGTTGAACGTGAAGTGTATGTTATGAAATGGTCATGTCTATGCCTTTATGGATGGTTTAGAATTTAGAATTTTTAGATCAATGTCCCCCAACCCGTGGCCTGCAGACCGGCACCTGCCCGCATAAGTTTTACTTTTCAGCATAACCAGTTTAACAAAATTTGGGATGGAGTCTATTTTCTTTACCTAAAATTTCGGAAGGACAATGGCAGTTGAATTATCTGATGAAAACAAGTTGGCTTTTCTCCTAATGACACTTCAAACAAATTTGCACCTGCTGAAATTAATTAGAGTATGTAAATTTTTCATTCTAAGAAATATTTCTCCAAGCCCACCTTTCTAATTGTTTGATGACATTCTTAACTGATTTTTTCTTGTAAATACTTGCCTAATAATATTCAAGCCAAAATTGTTGAGTCATCAAAAATTTTATGAAATCTGGTCCGCAGAAAATATTTTGGGAATTCGCCAGTACGTTAAATTTTAATTTTTTATTTTTGGAAATTTGCTGGTCCTCGGGTTCAAAAAGGTTGGGGAACACCGTTTTAGATTAAACTAGGTACAGTGGGTCTCACGATTTGGAAAAAATAACTTCTCACACTACATCCATCAGTCGAAACGTTTGGCATGTTGGATCACATTTTCCCATACACTTATATGGGAACAGTTTTAAACTCTTCTCAAGCTTGGTATTTATTTTATTTTATTGAACTCCAAATTTTCCAATAAGTAAGTTTGTTCATTGTGAAGGACGGAAACTAAGCGTGGAGAATAAAATCACACAGGGTCTGCGTTTTGGCATGAAGAGGACTCTAATAGAAGGGAAACAACAAGCACACATATTACTACGGAATACTTTGCACTTTTTGTGCAGTACCCAGTTGATGGAAAAAACCATGGGCGCAGATGTATGCACACAATCAGACTGTTCTGGAAAATAAGTTAATGGAAATTTATAATGCAATTGATTTTTGCCTCATCTTTAAGACGGTTGCTCAATTTTTTCCAGATATATGTATAGAAATATTTAAGAATTTTTTTCTGGAAATTTTGGCAAAGTGTCCATATCCTGAGTTATTGTCAAGATACAGTACAGTATTGCGGCAGATTTCGCGAGATCAAAGTGTCCATGAGTCGAATTCTCTGCAGATTGAGGGGTCCATTTTCGGGGTTCCACTAATTTTGTACATCCAAGTGCGATATCATGAAAATGGTTCAATCCAAAAAACAATTGAATAGTTCTGTGACTTCCGTCCAAGAGGCAGCGAAAGGGGTTTTTCTCCCCCAGTACTCACATTTTCTTGGAAGTCTGATCTTCCATTTAAAATTTGAAAATATTTCACTCAGTTGATTTTTCCAGAAGCGAAAGAGCAAACTATTCCCATCAAAAGAACTGTCTTGCATTCAT